ATAGGTTTGCCAGCACAATTCCAGGGTGGCGCTGATGACACGCACCTACTGTTCAAAAGCAAAATAAAAAAAAAATCTTATGAAAATAAAAGTTGAAGACCAATAAAAAAAATAATAAATCGTGACGTTTTCTTGTAAACATAAATGCTCGCGTAGCATAAAAGACTATCATTTTTTAAGTAGCCATTTCAGTTGAGTCTGGATCATCGTCGGCACCATCGGCACCATAGCAGCGACGTTTGTAGTCGCTCAAAAATAACTTGGACATATTTGATTGATCAATTTTAACGGATTGTGTGGTGTTTCTGTTGGGAAATAAATTCAAATTTTAGTGCAATTCAAAATTATCCATCTGAATTGAATGTAACTTACATAGTTTTGTAAAAAATGGCTCGGCTATTTTCAATTTCGATTCTTAATGAATACAATTTGGCCAAATCGATGAGTTTATCATTTTCTTCGGTATTCGTATATGGCAAAATCAATTGAGACTGTCGAGAATCTTGTAGAAATCTAATGAGAGACAAATCACATCAATTCATTAAAATAGAAAATAATTGTAAACTCAAAAAAATGAAGAAAATTTACGAACCTCGCCAAATGTTCATTAACACTACTAAAAATCGTGAAACCAGGTCGTTCATCACGAATGCGTCGACAACCGGCTCTTATTTCTCTCACTTCAAGTATTGACGATAAGAATGGATTCGATGTTTCACCGGACATTTCACTTTCAATTTGCGTCGCATGAATGCCCGACGTGAATGACGTTTGGTGCTGATGGCTTTGAACAATGTCGATTGGTAACGATGTAGCACTGCGCAGTATATTAGAACCTGTTGTTAGAGGATTATCTGATGTCGATGGTGACGAGAGTGTTTGTGAACCGTTTGATGTAAGACGGCTTTGCATAGATGTTGAAAATTTTGGCGGAAAGAGGATCGGATCTGTGCCCAATAGCAAATTTACCGATTCGCTTGGATTTTGTGATGTTGTCAAATGTGATGCAAATGGCGTGGGCATCTCATCAGCTGACATAAGTGTGTCTTCCTCCTGACCAATGCAGTCTTCATTTGTGTATCGTGTCTTATTATTACCTATTGGATTATTAATGGAACTTCTGGCTGGCTTTGCTCGTTTGAAATCATTTTTTGATGCAAAATTAACCATCGCCTCATTACCTGACCGGTTAAATAAAATCGTTTTTTTTATTCATACAGAAGTAAGTGTGTTGCTCTTTCATTTTAAAGAAAACCAATTACTCACCAGGCCAATCCGTCAGTTCGTCATCCCCTTCTCGATCGCTTTCATTTGTTTCACCTGCTTCGGAATCACTACTACTCAACGAACTCGAGCTTAGAAATTCACAATCCATACCACTTTGTTCATTGAATTGCATTTTCAATTGACTACGTTTGCTTTGCTTTCGCTTATGATTTGAATGCCGTGACTGACCTTTTCGTGAACTGTCTTTACCAATTTTGACTGGCGCAGAAATGTCTGGCTGTTGACCGAAACACGATGATGTTTCTTGAATGTTGAATGGTGAATCAAAACTACCAGACTTCTGTGCCATTTTATTCACATTAGCATTTGATGTACTGTCTATTGACAGACTCTTCGTTTGAGAAGAGCCGGCCGTTTGTAATCCACTTGAACTGTGTGGCAACGGCTGATGATTTTTCTCAGTGGCTATTGCATGTTGATTGTTCTTCAAATATGCTGAATCAAAATTGAAACCAGCTGGCACGCTTTTTTCGTCATTTGCCATTAGAATTCCTTGTGTAAAACCAACCAGTGCACCACTGCTATTTTGTGAATCTTGTGAAATTTTCTCAATTTTCGAAACGATATTTTTATTCAATGGCAAAATTCGTTCGCACGGCTTTGTGTATGTGTTACGACTTCGATTTTTGAATTCCAAGTAAGAGCTTTTTGGCGTAAAGAATTCACGTTGACGCGGTACACTGCTTGAATGCAAACGATAGTGATCGTAATCATGGTAACGATCACGATGTGAACGCTTGCGTTTTCCACAGTAGAATAGACCGGTTCGAAAATTCTCTTGGTTTGTATGCTTCATGACCCGCTTCTTTACGCTGCTGCCTTTCAATGGAAACATTGTGTTTGGATTTGGATTTCCTGGCGTCGATGGAGTCGTTTCATATTCCACTGCCATACGTTTAAATTTTCGCTTTCTACGCGTACTTGGCCTATGTTATTTACGGAAATTTAAAAAAAATAACACAATTAGTCTGAGTTCAATTGAACTAAAATCGTATACTAAACATAATTGAATTGCTTACCGTGTTGGGCTGAAATTTTCGTTCAACGAATCCGACTCGAAATTACCAAATAAACATGGTTGTCGTAGAGCTAGTTGAAAATTTTGCCGATCATCAGAATCGCTTAAAATTGAATTTGATTGGCATTCATTGATATCGATGGGACCGTCAGCTGGACTTGAACTATCCTCTGTCGGCTGTGGTGCACTTGCTGTAAAAATAAAACAAGGTATTGAATAAAATGCAATGTGCATGACAGTTTGTCACAAGATTGAAATGACTTGCGCAATTGTTGAGTACATACGTAAGTTGCCGGTACTGCGAATAAAATAAAACAAAAATAATCAAAATACATTCGGGAAGCATTGAAAATGAAAATGATACACTCACCTGCGCGTTCTTCTGCGTCCACCCCAGCAATGTCCAGCCCGCACACGAGATGTTTCCTCTAACGCAAGTGTCAAATCGTGTGAAAATTTTTCCATACTGTCTTTTATGGAAATCCCCTAATTCTTAATTTTTACTTTATTTTCGAATGCCACTCGTGACTCTTGAGTTCTTCATTTACGTTGTTTGATGTTTTACACTGATGATTTTTTGTATTTTCTAATTTTTGCAGCTCCTATGGCGGAAATAACGAAAATTACTTAATGGAAAATTGCATTATTTGATTTAATGTTCAGCAATCGAGGAGCACTTTTAGATAGGAAAACGAAATTGACAAAAATATAAATTGAACATACAGTGCATTATCATTTATTCAAAAGGTCACTGAAATTTGCATTCCAATTCGTAATGATACGAAATGAGATAATACATATAAATGGAAAAAAAATATTTAATATTCTACCACTCACGCACATAATAGTTATTTGTTTGTATAGTATGTAGCCACAATGGGTTGTTTTCAAAATCCGAAATTATTATAATGCTTTCCAATAAAAAATTCTTTAACAATCATACTAATCAACTAGGATACGTTGGCCAAATACACACATTATTTTATAACAAAATTTCTGATTAAACTATCAAACACAAAATTCTGTTGATTATTCTCAAATATTTTTCGTCAAATAGATACAAAATCGGGCTTTTTATCGTGTATTTAAGTTTTTCGATGTTTTTGAAATCGTTCAAAATAATAAAACATCACCACTGACAGAAAAATGCTATTGTGAAAAAAAGACACAAAAGCAGTTCTCACAAATGTATATACTCATTCACACTCATTGAAAAACGTTGTGATATCGCCACTGCATCTTTTCACAGCCTAGCTGTTGGTCTTTTTCACCCGCGCAAAAAGTCGCATTTCGTTTTCACTCTCGTTGTTATTTCCAATAACAAAAGAAACACTGCTATTTGTCTCTTTCCATGGGCTGCAGAGAGGAAACACCTTTCCCTTTTATTCATATACATCATCTCTCTCTCTCTCTCGATATTGTCAAATCACTTTAATTGTTAGTCTAGCTGTCACATTTTTGACAATTGCTTGAAAGTTCTTATCTCGACGACTCTTGGTTGTTTCACATGCTCAATAACATTGCGGTTATGCTGCAGTTTAATGATTAAAATTTAACAGAAAAAAAAACAAATCTTTTATTTCTAGACCAACTTACTCATTTGGTTTTATTTCAAAACAATACACTTACAAAATTTGTGTGTACTATGATAAAATTGTTTTCACAATAAATTTTCGTTTGACGGTTTTATTATTACTAGATATTTTATCTTTATTCATATTTACCATGTTATGTACGAATGAGTCTAATTTTGATGCGATATTTCCTTCACCTACCAATTCGAGTAGAGCGACTGCATCAAGTTTATCGTTGGCCAATGCATTTTGTGCAAAACGACATTTGTTAACGAAATCATTTCGTTCATAATCGGTTATATTACGGCTCACATTCACGCCAACATCCAATGGATTGTAGATGTACATAGATTCAGCACCTACATTCACTTTTATACTGCCAGCAGAAATCGAAACTGCATCTTCTTGAAAATTAAATGAAGCATAAAAGTCGAAAAATTCCATCAGTAATTGTGTCAATGTCGACGTATTTTTCGATTTAAAATTCAATTTTGTAGAATCCGTAATGCTCGGAATTTTGTCATCGGTTACTATGAGCTTCATAAAATCGTCAATTGGAGGCAATACGGGTTGCGGCAGCTGTTGGAGGAAAAATATTGCCAAACAAGTTAACATGAAATTCGATAGTCCCAAAGATGGATATCCTTGCATAATGCCGAACGATTGGGCCCAAGTTCGCATGTAAAAGACAAACGGCCTCACACGCCAATCCATTTCACCGAGCGTATACAATATTTCTGACATTTGGAAACCAGAACTGGAAAAGAACGACAACTAATGAGTATAGATCAGTTAATAATAATAATCGGTTAATAATCAGTTATAATCGGTCAGTTTCTTCTTCCAAACGGTCACCACTTACATGTTTGACATTGATAAGTCACATTCTAAACACGTTAGTTTTTGATGATATTTAATAATAGGTACACGAGCATTCAAAATTGGTTCAACATGTTTTACGCCATGTAGCCAGTTCCGAGCAATGTTTGATATCAGATGCAAATTGTTTCTGACTGAAAAACGACCATCTAATGGGCCGACTTCCATAACATCAAATGGACAATTTCTTATTCGGTTGCCGCAAGACAGTAGTATCTAAAGATAAATAATAAAGACATTGATTTAGTATCGATGATTTTGTGGCTAGTGGTTTCAATGTTTTATACCATGTCTAAGTCAGATTGCATTCGGCCGAATCCGTTGATTGATGAACCAAATGGCAATACTTTTGGTTGGTGAAACACTCCGGAGAGTGCTTCTTCCAATTGAAGTGCTGTCAAAAATCGCAAACGTGTCGAAAAGTCACTTAATCGATTTGATTTATAAAGTGTCATAATTTGTTTGTCAATGCTTTTCTCTTTTCGCATTTCTTTCAATAGAAGCTCATGTTCGGTAATATTTCTTTCGACTTTGACTGGGACGTTGCTTCGATTTTCTCTTGTTGGATTATGTATGGGATTGAATCTTAAGAATCTACCTTTAGCACGAATTTTGCTATCCAACAAAAAATTTCCAGGGTGGAAGGCAGTTGTAATTATATTATTCACTGTAGAAAAGTTCTCGAATTCTACTAGAAAATGTGAAATTTTCCCATCAACATCGTCTTTTCGATAGATATTTTTTACTCGGGCATTACTGCAATATGCAATGACTTTCTTGATTGTATTTGGATCTCTATCCGTTTCGATAAGAATACTCTTCTTAGCCTCAATCTGTCGCATACTTATGGCATTCTGGAAATTTGGTCGGTTATTTGACGCTGAAGAATAAAACAAAACAAAAACAATCAAAATATACTCCGACCTTATTGAAATATAATCCGACCTTACCATTCTTTTTATCATCGTGTCGATGTCTCAATTGAATTTGATGTGTTAGCCAAAAGGGAACGCCTCGAAATGGAAGCGATAAATTATTTAATTTATTTGTATATTTCAACATATTTAATGAGAATTTCACTTATATATTGAACAAAATTGTTTATGGCAAAGCATGGCCATGTTAGGTTATGTGAACTGTCAAACAAATTGACATTCATGACACTGTATCATGATTATGGCAAAAATACATTCGTTCTATTCGTTGATGATTATTACCGTTGAATAGAGAAAGGAGCGATAAAAGATATTAAACCCAGAGAAATGAGAATAAACAGAATGCAAAATAAAAAAACAACCAGATTATATTCTATAGTAATATATTACTAATTGTTTGTTACATATTTATTTTAATGTTTTAATAATCTGAAGTATTCCCCAATCCTTGCCAGAGGATTTAGCCGTACATTCTTCTAATATTGTTAAAGTTTTCTTTGACATTATCTTTATCGTTGACACTTCTGGATCACTGATATTGCCACCCCACGCATTTTCCGAATTAAATATATTATCCATATAGCATGTCAGAGGCATAATTTTTTTTGGTGTTTGAGGTTGATTTTCTTGTTGTTCTGACGCTGGTTCAGGTTCCGGCTTCATTATTTTTGCCGTTGTTCTCAATGTAACCATGTGTTTGCTAAAGTCAAATGTCTCAACAAATACCAGAAATTGAATGAAAAGCTCTAAAACAGTGCTTGTGTTCTTTGTCTCAAAATGAAAATGATCAAAGTTGAAGATAAACGGTTTCTTTAAAATGTTCGCAACAACATTGTCCGATTCATGTGCAGTAATTTGATTCATCATTTCATCATATGTTGGAATCAGTGGCTCTTTTAATTGCTGCAGAAAACTTAAGCACATGTATGACAATTGAAAGTTCGTAAAATTTTCTCGGCCGATGTAACGATCCATTTCAAAATTTTTATACCACTGACGAACCATGTAAACAAGTGGCCGAATACGTTGATCCATTAGTCCCATTGCGAACATGAATTCCGTTATGTGGAAGCTATCCCTGTAAAATCAAGTATCATATTAACTATATTGAGATAAGAGGTAGAGACATCCTTACATATTATTAACCGACAAATCAACGCTGTTGTCAATGTTTGTATCGTTGTAACGTACAATTGGTACGCGAGCATTACCAATTGGGGTGACTACATCGGTTCCGGGTACTAGATAATCAATCATTGAAGCAAGGCACCTTACTTGGCATCCCGCCAATTTTCTTATCTCTTCTGCACTTTCACATTGGTTCCCTTGAAATGCCAATGGCATGTCACTGTTTTCATCTATGCTGTCAATATTTTTTTTAAAATGAAGAACCATATCCAGATCGCAGCCCATCTTCCCAAACCCATTCACCGACGAACCAAACGGATAAACTTTTGCATTTGGAAAAATGTCATCCAGATATTCATTTGTCACAATTTGCGCTTGCAATGCTGTGAGAAACTTCAATCGCACCGAAAAATCGGTGAGTTGAGTGTGCTGATACAATAGGCGCACTTGTTCGTCAAATGTTGTGGCATTTCGTAGAATGTGTGTGATCGACGGTCCATCCTTATTTGTGATTTGTAGTGGTGCATCGGCCGATAATAATGGATTCAGTTTTGAATTTCGAAGGGCTAAGAATCGATTTGGCCACTGTACAGTATTCGCTTTAAAACCACTGAATTTAAAAGTTTCATTAACTGCATCCGCATCTTCGTATTCGAGTAACATCAAAGTTCGCGCATCGTTCAATGTATGGACAAATGCATTTTTTATTTCTCCAAACTGCTTACAATGATTGTAAACTTGACCGCAAACATCTTTTTTATTCACTTCCACCACTATCGAACGAAGTGCCTCCGATTGTCGTCTCGCCATTAAATCTTCGAGATTCTCTTCTAAATGTTAAAAAAAAACAACAGTTTAATCGATAGAAATGGTTAATTCGATAAATATTTTATTAAACTTACTATTGAGGCATGATTCATTCAGCTTTTGGCTCGGAAGAACTGTGCTGTGCCATCTTTGAAAAATACCATTTATATATTGGCTAGATTTTAAACAACTACGCAACTTTAACATTTTAATCAATTCAATTCAATCCACCGATTCAAATGTTGATCACTTGTATTTCACAATTTGATGAATGGATTGCTGTCAAAAAAGCACGTTCGGAACAATCATACAACTGTCAAATGAGATCAAATGACAGAAATTGTCAATGAAGTATTTTTTGAATTAACGCATAAAATAGTATATTATATTTTTTAATTTAACAATAGTTTTGTTTTATTGAAAAACACTCAATTTTGAAGAGAAGTATTTGTCTCATAGCTTCAATTTTGTTAATCTTTGTTTATTTATTCAAATGTTACCTGTTTCGCTTGACAAAATTCTCGTTTACATGTTCAAAAAGTGTTTAAAGAATTTTAATTTTTTTTAATGTTTTATGTATCAATTTAAACTGATATTTTTCCCAACGGATATGTTATTATTTGTTTCATATACTTTAAAAAGGAGTTGGTGATTTTTCTTCAAATGAAGTGAGTCTACTGTCAAACGTCAATATATTATCGAACCCTTCTATGAAATGTACAGTGGCGCCACTCTTTGGTACTAAGTAATTCCATAGAAGAGTTCGATAAAACATTGACATTTGACAGCAGACTCACTTTTTCACGAACTTCTTTATTAAAAATGCTTTCCACTGGTTTAAATATGTACAAATAATTTCTAAGTCTCAAATATTCTTATTTTAATTTTGAGAGAATTTCTAATAGTCCCCAGTTATGGTGGTTGTCAGACGGTGTGAGTGAGCATTGTTCTAGCTCTTGTAATGATTCCTGTATCATTATCTGTAGTGTGGAAATTTCGGCCTGCGAAACATTTAGCCCCCATGGATTTGTGCTGTCGAATACATTTTCCAAATATAGTGGATCTGCTGCTGGCTTGGGTGTTTTTTCGATTGTTTTTACTGTGACCATGTATTTGCTGAAATCAAATGTCCCAAAGTATTCTAAGAATTGAATGAACAGCTCCAAAACTGTGCTTTTGTTTTTTGTCTCAAATTTGAATCGATCAAAGTCGAAGATAAATTCATTGTTCTTATTAATTGTGAAATTTTCTGATTGATTTTTATTCATTTGAAGCTTCACATCTTCAAACGTTGGTATCAGCGGCTCTTTTAATTGCTGCAGAAAACTTAAGCACATGTATGACAATTGAAAATTTGTAATGCTATATCGACGTTTATTTGTCAAACCGAATTCCTTCGCCTGGAGGAGAATAAAAACAGAAAGTTATTCAATATATGAATGTCCGAGAATGAATGTGAGTCTTCTCCTGAGAGTTTATTGAAATGTAACACCGCCATACAAAAAATACTGACTGTCAGCAATTTTTGTATGGCGGTGTTACATTTCAATAAACTCTCAGGAGAAGACTCACATTCATTCTCGGACAATCATATAATGAATGGAAAAATGGAAATGAAATGAAATCATTTTTATCACTATGCGTACATTTTACTTTAAGTATGGATTTTTTTTATTGCTGTGTTAGTGATCAAACCCTATAACATATGTTTATGATAACATGAATATTTTGACTCACCCATTGTCGAACTAAAAATATAAATGGTCTTATTCGGTGGTCCATTAGTCCCATTGTGTACATGTACTCTGTGATGTGAAATCCAGCCCTTTAAAATAGAAATGTTCAATTAGCTTTGGACACATAATTGGCAAACGAATGCTAAATTTTCAACAGCTCACAAATTATCAACGGATAAATCGACGCTGCTATGGATGTATGTGTCGAAATATCGAACAATGGGTACACGGGCACCGCTGAAAGCAGACACTGATTCGCATCCAGGAACAAAATATTCAATCAATGATGCCATGCACTTTACTTGATTTCCTTGTAATTTATTTGAATCGTCTTCTGATTCAATCATCTTTCCACAAAATTCCAATGGTTTATCACTGTTCCCATCTGTGCGGTCGATATCTGTATCAAATCGAAGGGCCAGATCAATATCGCAGCCCATTTTTCCAAACCCATTGACGGACGAACCAAATGGATAGACTATTGCATTTGGAAAAGATTCGTTCATGTATTTATTTATCACAACTTGTGCCTGCAATGCGGTGAGAAACCTTAACCGCAACGACAATTCAGTGAGTCGGCTATTATCGTACAAAAGGCACACTTGTTCATCAAATGTTGCAGCATTCCGTAGAATGTGTGCAATTGGAGGAGCGATGGCATTGTCTAACAGAAGTGGTGCATTGGTCGATAACGATGAATTCAATTTCGAATTTTTTACAACTAAAACTCGATTTGGACACTGCACAGCATTCGCTTTAAAACCACTGAATTTGAATGTTTCACTGACTGCATCCAAATGTTTGTATTCGAGTAACATAATGTTTCGCTCATCTTTCAGCGTGTAGACAAATGCATTTTTTATTTCACCAAACTGCTTACAATGATTGTACACTTGACCGCAAACATCTATTGTATTTACTTCAAGAATTACGGATCGAAGTGCCTCCGATTGCCGTCTCTCTATTAAATCTCTGAAATTTTCTTCTACAGATTTACAAAATAAAACATAACATTTTTAGAAAATCGATCAAAATGTTTAATTCGTTATAAATTTGTTACACCTACTATTGGGATATGATTTTTTTAGCTTCTGGTCCGGAAGAACGGTGCTGTGCCATCTTCTAGAGGTACCACTTGCATATTGACCGAATCTTAAACAACTTTGTAACTTTAACATTGTAATTAATTAAATGTTAATACTTCGTTTCAAATAGTGTTTATTCCGTATTTCATCATTTATTGTATGGTTTGCATTTTTTGCTGTCAAAGTGAAAGCGTGTTTGAAACTGTCAAAAACTAATGACATAAACTGTCTAAATGAATGTCTTTTTATTGGCGGTCAATTTTTTACACTACTTAATAATATAAAAACTTAATTATCTTAAATTTGGAAATATTGATAGCAATCCCCATCGATTTTTGTTTGGATTTTGCGATCCGTCGACATCTATTAAATCCGCAAAAGTATTTTGGGCATTCATTTTAAATGCAAGACATTCATCGTAACTTACCTAGGGATGATTGGAAGAAAAAAAATTAAAAAATGGAAATTAATCTTTAAGTAATGGAACAGAATAGAAAATGAAATTTATCAATAGCTTACGTTTCGACCCCAATTTTGTTCCATTTCAAATGGATTGGAAATTTGCAAGGGTGAAGGTTCAATTTTTCGAATTGGTTTATGTGAAGTTAAGGAAATTAGGTGTTTTGTAAAATCAAATGTACCATAAAATTCCAAAAATTGAATAAACAATTCCTCCAAGGAGTTCGTATTTTGTGTTTTGAATTGAATTTCATTTGGATCGCGACAAAATGTGTATTTTCGATGTTCTTCTGAGAATCTAACATCTTCTTTGCGTGCCTTAGACACTAATTCATGTACGGTGGGTAAAATTGGATCGGATAATTGCTGTAAAAAACATAAAACCAAACAGCTTATTTGAAAATTTGTAAACGAGTGTGGTCTCGGTGTGCCGTTGATCTTTGTTGTCAGTTGCGCTTCTTGTGCCCATCTTCGAACCAAAAATACTAATGGTCGAACTCTAGCATCTATCTCTCCATATGTGTGAAAAAGTTCCGAAATATAAAAGCCGGTCCTGTTTGTGAATGAATAGGAAAATCATGAATTTCAATTTTTTTCAAAGAGAGTTTCAAGTACTCCAAATTCGTATGATTTGTACTCACATATTTAGCAATGATATGTCCACACTCAAATTCAAGAAATTTTGATAATAACGCACAATCGGGACGCGAGCTTTATGTATTGGTGTAACATTTGAAGCACCCGGTATGAATGATTGACACATTGCACCATAGAATTTTATATGATTTTCAATTATTCCACGCCTAATTGTATCTGTATCTGATGGGCAGCCTTTTGTATGGAACATTAGTCTTCTGCTATTGTAATCATTTGGCAATTTGAATGATTCATCATCTGAATTGTAATGCAAAATCATATCTAGGTCACATCCTAATTTGCCAAAACCGTTGACCGTTGATCCAAATGGTACTACAATATGCTTTAAAAACAAGCCCTCAAGTGCTGTTTGAATTTGTGACGCTCCCAGAAATCTTAGCCGTATCGCCAGGTCATTCAGTCGTGTGTGTTCATACAATAAACTAATTTGTTCAGATACCGAATCGGCTTCGACGAGGATTTTCATCAAATCTGTTGCACTCCTTTCGGTTCCTTCAATCGTATTAAGCACTATACGATCTTTCACATTCATCGCTTTCAGTTTACTTTTATTTGGCGTATTTCGAAACCATAGGAATTTACTTTTTACTGGCACCACACCAGAACTAAGATTTGGAAATGCACACGATTGAAATGTTTCATTCACAGAGTTTTCATTTTCATACTCGAGCAATATGAAGCTAGTATCTTTTGGTACTGTATAAAAGTAGGCATTTTTTATGTGACCAAATTGACTACAATAATTGTGAACATCATCAAACGACTTTTCTGATGCAACTTGGACCACTACCGAACGAAAAGCCTCCGATTGTCGACTGTTGACGACATCTTCCAAATTCCGTAACAAAGGTACTGTAATATATGATGATATGAATCGAATGCAACATTAGACAATCAAAATAATAACTATACCACTGCATTTGCTTGAATGATGTTTAATTCCATGGAAACAACGGCCTACTAAATTTGGTATAAGCCTTGACAAATGTATTAACATTTTTTCGAAATCTACTATGCACTTTACTTATGATTTGAGGTGTACATGCAATTGAAATTCGTTTTGAGGTTATGTCAATCGGCGAAAATGTCAAAATTGTAAGGTATAGACAGTGTTTTGTTTTGTGTTTTGACAGTTGAAATATGTGAATTGTTGTATACGACTGACAAGCACGTGTATATAAAGTAAAATTCTGTTTTAATTGGTGTAGTGAGGATTTATGTGATAAATCACGAAAAAATGACGGAAAAAACTCAAAAAGGCAATAAATCGTCGGAACCATCATCATCATCTGGTGGAAAAGATGGCATTTGGAAAGATCCACGTTTCGCAAATCTGGTCAGTGACCCTCGATTTAGAAATATTCACAAATCAACGAAAACAGTTAAAATTGATAAGCGGTTCAAGTCAATGTTTGAGGATGACAAATTCAAAGTGAAATATACCGTAGATAAATATGGGCGACGCGTGAATAAAACATCGACCGATGATTTGGAAAAATACTATGACATTGATTCGGAAGAGGATGAAGAGGAGCAACGCAAAGAAGAAGCTGAATTGTTTAAGGAAAGTGGAAATGTGAACGACGTACACGAGAGTGATGAAGAAATCACTGAGGATGTCATGACAAAATTGAAAGATATGAGTGTCGATTATGCCCGCGGTGAATTGCCATTGATGAGTGATAGTTCATCGGATGATGATGATTCTTCGGATGATGAGAACGATGAATTGGTAATGGATGATGCCTGGGGTGAGCTGGACAGCGAAACGGATGACGAGAATGCAGAAACTACACGCCGTTTTGCATTAACCAACATGGATTGGGATAGAATTCGAGCGTGTGATATTATGGTGCTGTTCAATTCATTTTTACCACCAGGCGGGTCCGTTCTCAGCATTCGAATCTATCAATCGGAATACGGTGAACAACGAATGGCCGAAGAAGAACTTAAAGGACCACAAGAATTGATCGAAAAAACTAAGTTGAATAGCGAAGATGAATTTGATTCAGACGATTCGCATGCGGCCGATGATAATGAAGAGGGTGATGATTATCAAATGGAAAAGCTACGTCAATACCAAATCAACAGGCTGAAATATTACTATGCAGTTGTTGAATGTGACCGTGTTGAAACAGTCGAAAAATTATGGCATGAATGTAAAGGTCTGGAGTATGAAAGTTCGGCTACAAAGCTTAAAATGAAGGTAATTCCGGATGATATGACATTTGATGATCGACCATTGAAGGATGAATGTACAGAAATGCCAGATTTGGCCAAATACACACCTAGATTGTTCACTACAACAGCTTTGCAACAAGCGAAGGTATTTTAATATTTATATTTCTTTCACTTATTCTTTTTATTTCGAATTCTAAGAATTAATTGCGAACTATTTTTCAGGTTGAACTAACTTGGGATGAAAATGATATGGAACGTGCTGAACTCAATGAAAAATTGAATACAGGAAAATTGAATGAAATTCACGATGCTGAACTGAGAAAGTTTGTAGCATACAGCAGCGAAGAAGAAGAAGAAGAAGAAAAAGCAGTAGATGTAGGAGAGGTGGAGAAAGACGGAAGCGATTCAGATAATGATGACGATTTACCAATCAACAAATCGAATAAAAAAGAAGATGTTATATCGAAATATAAAAATTTGCTGAATGAAATCAATCAAAAAGAGCAGGAAAAGAAGAAAAACAAAATCGAAATGGAATTTTCTTGGGGAATCGATACAACATCCAAGACCGGTAAAACTGAGAAAAAATCCAACAACGCTGAATCGTTAACTCCATTTGAAAAGCTTATTGAGAAAAAGCGTGAGAAGAAACGAGAACGCAAACAGAAAATACGTCAATTGAAGAAAGAGCAAAATCAGATAGAAAATGAGTCGGGTGACAGTGGAAGTGAAGACGATTTACCGGATGGAATCGATATGAATGATCCATATTTCGCTGAAGAATTTGCCAATGGTGAATTTGCACCCGCCAAATCTAGCAAATCCAAATCCAAAAAGAAATTGTCTAAGAAGAACGAGGATGAAAGTGAAAATGAAGCACAAAAAGAATTGGAGCTGTTGCTGGATGACGATGATCACAAAGCACATTTTAGTTTGAAGAAAATTCAGGAACGTGAAAATGAAAGCAAAACATCGAAAAAACGTCGCAAGAATCTGAAGCACAAGAAAAATGAAGAAGACGAGAAAATGGTTGAAGATGATTTTAAAATGGATGTTACGGACAACCGTTTTTCGGCTATTTATTCATCTCATTTGTTCAATATCGATCCAACCGATTCACATTATCGCAAAACAAAGGGAATGGACACTCTCATTCAAGAAAAACTTAAACGTAAATCCGACAAAAATGATGACGCTTCAAATGCTGAACCAACTGAGAAAAAACGTCGTGATTTATCCAATAGCCTTTTGATAAAAAGCATTAAAAGAAAAGTCCAAAAACAAGTATAAATATTTTTTTGTAATAGTTTTACATAATTTATAGCATACTGTTTATGGAAATAAAATATTTTGTTGTTTTAAATAATAATAATAATAAAAAGAAAAATATTTGAAATGAAATATAAACATAAATATTTTCTCCACATTTTTAGTTAAAAGCGATTCAATGAGTTTGTAACAAATGCAATTATGCAGCTTTATTTTATTTTGTTTGCTTATACACGTGAGAAACGGAAAATTTCAGCTATTGTAATACATTCATTTGTTAGTTAAAATATTCAATAATAATAATATGTTTGTATGAGTGCATTGAGAATATGAATTATGTTTCAAACTAGTTTGGAATGATTCAGTGCCTGCATTCAGAATTGTTTTTTTACATTTTCACATTCATTGCTATCATTCATTTGTGTTATGATTTTTTTTTAATTAATCAGATTAAGAGACGAGTTTGGTGAAAACATTGTTATTGTTCTATTTATGATATCAGGTCTCTTTAACCTTAACCTATTCAAAATGATATTTATTATTGGTAGTAGGAGATTTTGAATTGCGTGCTTATTATCTGTTGCTTCAAACATGGTTCTAGACACCACAATAAATGAATCTATGTTAAGTGTAAACGTTTGGGTGTTATTAAAAGTAAAAAACTTGACCATTTACGAAATGAAAACCGTATTGATCTTCTGAATCGGCATCCGAATAGTGATCAAAAAAGTCGTCATCAGAATATTCATTCGACCAATCGCTTAACCACGACTCATCATCGCTGTAAGTATAATCATCATCTGTTGGATCTTCGATTGTTTCGTCGATGTAAAGGATTTCGCGGTTTTCATTCACAATTTTTTCGGGAATATTGACCTTACCTAAAGGGATGGAACCACAAAATAATAGAATGAGTTGAGATAAAAGTGACCATTGACAATAAGATCGCAAGCACTTCTTACCTCCACTGCCTGTAATCTTGATCAAGAGATTGACCTTATTTCGCCGACTTTGAATGATTTTAATCATTGCTTTGTAGTCATCAACGTCAATTGTTATGCCATCGACAAATTCCAGACTTAAAAGTGACAGTGATTTTGCATGTGGCAGCATCTTTTTCAGACCAATGGTTGTAATTTGGTCGGTTACTGGTTCGCTTAAGTGAAATTCTTCGAGATTGGTCAATTCTTTTGCCAGTAAAAACAAATTGTCATCGGTCAGTTCGCCAACCATTTCAATGAATTCCAAAACTTTGATTTGCTTTATTTTGCAAATGCATTCTATGGCTTCGTTGTCGATATCGCCATTAACCAATTTCAAATGTTCGATTGGCACCTTGCTGACAGCAAGAGTTTTCACCAATGACGTAATCGACTCCATATTGAAGTCGACCTTCAATACTTTCAGTGCACGCAATTGACCGAGAGTTTGAATACTTTCAGACCAATTATCGTCATCCAAATCATCCAGTTCAAGTTCCAATAAGTTCGGTAGATTTTGTCCAATTAATTTTATTGACTCCTTTGTGTCAATTGCACCTAGAAAAAGTTATTTCATTATCTTTATTTTCTTCATTATCTTTTTTTAAATAACTATTCAATTTGTACTATTAAAATTAATTATACCATTAAAAGTAATCTTCAATTTCTTCAATGTGGAATTCTGTTTTATGAAGTTTCGCAATGAAGATTGTTCAAAATTATAATTGCGATTGAATGACACCTCTTCAAGCTTTGGAAATTTTTGTTCGATGAACGTTCCTTCGCCAAAGTCACAGTCCTCGAATTGCAACACCTTTAATTCCGTGCTTGTGGTCAGTACGCTATTAAAGCCATGATTGCATTCGCATTGGATTAATTGCAATTTTTCCAACTGTGAAAAAAGTGACCGAATTTTTTTGAGATTTCCTTTCAGTGCAAAACCCGATATCTCCAAGTCTTTTAATTTTGAGCAATAGTTGCTGACCATACGTAAAAATGATTGAGCCGATTCGATAACCATTGAATCAATTCGCAACGATCGAATCGCTTGGCCAAAATTTTTCAAAATATTTTCGGCCTCATGATTCTTGATGCGATTATATGGGATTGGCGAAAAATTCATGGTCAGATTCAAATCTTTGTATTTTTTTCCGAATGCCTCTTTGGCCTGTTGATTGAAACGAACACAAACACGAGCTGTACTTGACAAATCCATCAAATTGAAATATCGAAATATCTCGCGCAAACAATCATCGTTGAGTGAATTGAGAATATGAGATGTAGAATTTTGATCGGGTGCCACTAATAATGGATTCGAGGGCACTTGCAAAAAATCCGGTTGATGCCAAAGATCTCCAGCCTTAACTTTCACCTTACGATTTGCAATGTAATGCCAATTTTGTGCAAGAACAGCACTTGCGCATTCAGCCATTTTGAATTGTACAAAGCCGTATTTAAAGTCGTCTTTAGAATGGAATCGAACATTTTCTACTTCTCCAAATTGCTCGAAATAGGGTTTGATGCGACGAGTAATCTGAAATTGCATTATATTTTCAATACCGATGTTTAAAAAAACTGTTTTTTTTTTGTGAAAAAAGTAAAAAATGACTGACTTACTTGAGATTCAATCGGTGAAACATACAACGTTCGAATCGCAACTTTGTTGTTGTTTGACATATTGAACAATTTGAATGATACCTATTATAAATTGTACAACAAAATAAAATATTTTTCATCAAACTAAATAGATAGTTACACTTTAACAGTACAAAAAATTGTGTAAACACATAGACAGTGACTAAAATGTCTTTTGTATAAACACACGATGCGAATGTTTTTTTTAATATCCTATATTGAAGCGCAATTTTCAGTTGACGACGTTGGTAAATTCACAAGCCGCTATGATTAGTGTGTTCTCGATGGACAGATCAACGTCGGTTTGTCGCCAAACGGTATCGTTACTGGTATATGTAAATGTTCTCACTGACTAGTATCGTTTGCTGTATGTAGTTGTGACTCGTATTTGATCTGTATCGGTGAAATAAGATTGTTGCTGTACATCATTATTATTTACAAATACAATCCTCTGCTATATTGAACAAAAAATGCTTCGCATCATCAAAACGAGCATGCTTTGTTTTTGATGAATTCCGATAGGGAAAAACGTTGTTTATATTTACACAATCAAATTTGGAGCAAAACAATGAATCATGATCGATAATATTTTTTGAACCTTTGATTGTGACAATATATTTAAAAATCACTTTGTATACTCTCAATAAATACAACATTCTGAAAAAAAAATTCCATTAATTATAAAGCATATTCAGAAAGAGTACAAAAAGTCGTTGAAAGTGAGAAGGGAGAAAGGAGAAAAAAAATCTGCTCAATTACGCATAATTGTTTTACATTACTATACGTAATGTTTTTCTTTATTAAATTTACTTTGATTTCAAGAAATTCAAGAACTTAAAAAAAGTTCATATAACAATATGGTTATGATGTTGCTTTGCAATCTCCTGAATTTTTCAATGCACAGCTGATAAAAAAGGTCTTATCAGTTTTGTTTCCAGTTTTTACATAAAACATCTCATTAATCGTTTTGGTTCGTAATCAGATTGTTCCGTGTCCAAAAAAAAAAATAGTGCAGATAATCATAACGAAACTAGATTATAACGTGTTCCCAGTTCCATATACATAATGTTTTATATGCTGATTATATTTTGATATTATTTCAGTTTATTGACAGCTCTTGAAGCATACAGTCAATTTTATGGCTGCTTAAGTTTTCTTTCCATAAAAAAGACAAATATACTAAATCGAAAATGAAAATAAGCGATTTCAACTGGATTTCGATTTTATTCATTCATTTGTTCCTACGGACCATTGACATTAGTACAATGGCTTATAGGCATTCGAGCAACATCCCAAAAGATGTATTTCCACTGAGTTTAATTCACCTAAACGATTTCCATTCGAGGTTTTATATATTAATTTCGATTTTTTTCAACATATTTAAAGTTTTCAAACCATTGTAGATTTGAAGAAACAAACAAATATGGACTGGATTGCAAAAGAGAGGAAAGAGAAGACTGTATCGGCGGATATGCGCGTGTTGTTGCAGTGGTCAAGGAATTACAGCGAACGGGTTCAAATACCATTTACCTTAATGCCGGAGACAACTTTGCTGGAACCATCTGGTACACATTCGGCCGATGGAACGTAACAAGTCATTTTCTTAATTTGTTAAGAGCCGATGTTATGGTAAGCTTGAGCCAATTTCCATTAAATTATTGCATTGAATAACAGATTTTTTTAGACATTGGGTAATCATGAATTTGACCAAGGTCCCAAAGAATTGGCTTCATTCCTGGACACGATTCAAACTCCAATTGTGCTGGCAAATATTGATCTAAATGATGAAGTACAGCTGAAAGGAAAATTCAAAAATTCAATAATACTAAATCGAGGGAATCGAAGAATTGGAATAATCGGACTAATTTCAAGCAACACAAATGTAAGAAAGTTGTTACAAATTTTAATAATGGTATTTAATTAAATTGGAAATAATTTCTTCCACAGTTAGAATCGAATACGGGGAACATTATATTTCTAGATGCTGTTGAAACAGTACGTCGTGAAGCTAATAAGTTGGAGGCCGAAGGAGTCAACATAATTGTTGTATTATCGCATTGTGGCATTGATGTTGATTTTCAGATAGCCCGAGAAGCAGGCTCAAATGTAGATGTAATTGTTGGCGCACATTCCCATACTTTCATGTACAATGGCGATCCGCCAGGAGTTGATTCTCAAAAATACAATTATCCAGTTGTGGTTGAACAGAATAACGGTCACAGAGTTTTGATTGTTCAAGCCGCATCCTTTGCTAAATATGTTGGAAATCTCACGGTGTATTTCAATGAATTGGGTGAAGCAACACGATGGGAGGGACAGCCTGTATATCTTGGGCCAAACGTTCAACAAGGTATTCTTTTTTTGATTTTCTATGATGATTTTGATCAATTTATTTGTGATAATCATTTCAGATGAACAGATTCTAAATGAATTGATACCATGGAGAGAAAAATATCAAAATAAAAAAGAAGAGCCAATCGCAGAAACATCCATTGTATTGAACTATACGAGTTGTTGGTATGACGAATGTCTTATGGGAGATTTTCTCACAGACGCTTATTTGCATTCGTATCGTAAAACAACAAATGATAGTGGTACAGCAGTGGCTTTTGCACAGGGAGGTGGCATCCGTGCAACTATACAAAAGGGATGTAGGTAATTGGTTATATATTAATTAATCCAAGATCTAATTTGGACCCCACTAATAATATATTTTTAGCAATAACATTCGGAGATTTGATTATGGTTCAACCATTTAACAACAGAGTGGACTCATTCGATTTATTGGGTCAGTATCAAAATATAATCACTTAAAAATTAGTATTGCTAGATATTATTTGGATTTTATGATTCTCACCCAGGCCAGTATATTTGGGACGCAATCGAATATAGTTCCACGAATATTCACGATAAAAACACAAATGAAAAGCATATGCTGCAAATATCGGGTAAACTTTTTTGAAAAATTGTATGGAATTTTAAAATGACAAAAGTGTGTAACATTTAATTTTTAATTCAGGTATGAAGATTGTGCTAAATGCTACAGAATTGAGAGGACATCGAGTTGTTTCAATAAATATATTTAATGAATTGTTCCAATATGAACCGATAGATGTTAATCGATCATATCGAGTCGTTGCCACCGACTTTTTAGCTGCCGGTGGTAACGGATACTCAATGTTTGCAGAGCATAGGCAAAACTATATGTGAGTAAAAATATTCATCAGTTTATATTTTAAAAAAGAAAACTATATCAGTTTTAATTTTTAGTCCTGGAGAAGCAGACATTGATGCGCTTACGAATTACATGAAATTTATTCAAAAGGTAGAAACGGTGCTACAATTCCTGATCCATTCCTTCGATTCTGTTCCATTACTTATTGATTAATTCCTATTATTTCCATTTTTCTTTACTGATGAACCCTAGGTAGAAAAGGTGGACGTTGGACGAATAGTTGTTTTAATCTGAGCCCATGAATTCAATGCACTTATGGAATAATCAATGTAAACGAATATTATGTAAATTGCAGAGCAAATAAACACTTTTAAAATACATTTTTATTTAAATCAGTATAAATAATGGAAAATTTCACAAAACAACATATTTGTTACATAATAATATTATCTGCGTTATTCTTTGCTCTCATGGACCTGACTGAGTGTTTTTTATTGTTTTATTGTTGTAATTTATTCCGATCTTTTTATATATTTTCAATACAATCGCAAGCGAATATTATATTTATTTTCAATACATATTTTACTTGTTGGGCACTTTTTTTAGAGTTTAACATTCATTTCTTCTTCGGCAATTTCATAAAAAACAATGGCATAAAAATAAGATTCACTGATTAAGTGACATTAAACACAAGCAAAGAAAATTATTTAACGGCAATATCAAATAATATCAAAAGTAATTCTGAAAATATGCATAAAAGTCAAGGGTTACATTCTATTTGAATTTTGACGTACACATACACAATTTTACAATGCTAGTCAATTTGCACAAGTTATGTTTTACAATACACCGGCTATTGCGCCGCATAATAAGGATAATTCGTGTTGGTGTGTGTTGTTTTTTTTTCGTACTAGTCAAACTGTCACCAGATTTGTGGTGCGTGTGTTAAGAGACAGAATTTAATGTAGAACTGTTGCATCGCGCTGTAGTTTGATTGTCAAAAAACACGCTTCTAACTGATTTATGTATTTTATTCGAAGCAATTTTCAGGTAAGAAAATCAAAAATTATTTAGTTATTTATAGTTTTTTAGTAATTTATTCAGTTTTTTAAGATTTCGCTCGTTCAACAAATTAAATACTTTAAACTCAACTCATTCTAAGATTCGCACATCAATTTAATGCGATAAAACCGTTAAAAAAAATTATTAGTTTTTGGCAATGAATTTCACAATTAAAGGAAATTCTGTACTTCAACAATCTAATTGTTTTGAGTATTTCTTCATTCAAAAAGAATAGACATTAAATAATTTAAATAATTGAACATTTCATTGCCTTTAAATACTGTGTATGTGTTGGAATTAGTGAATTTTAATTATTTTTTTTCTATTTCTCGGTGTGCTCATCATCAACATTTTCTCGTACTAGACAAACTGTCACCAGATTTGTGGTACGTGTGTTGAGAGACAGAATTTAATGTAGAACTGTTGCATCGTGCCGTATTCTGGTGGTCAAAATCACGATTCCGAGTGATTTTGTTATTTTATTTGAAGCAATTTTCAGGTAAGAAAATCATTAAATCAGTAACTTATTAGCAATTTATTCGGTTTTTTAAGATTTCGCTACTTTGAACTCAACTCAAATGAGATAAAACCGTTAAGAAAAATTATTAGTTTTTGGCAATGAATTTCACAATATAAGGAAATTTTGTACTTCAAAAATCTAATTGTTTTGAGTATTTCTTCATTCAAAAAGAATAGACATTAAATAATTTAAATAAATGAGCATTTCATTGCATTTAAATACTGTGTATGTGTTGGAATTATTGAATTTTAATTAATTTTTTTTATTTCTCGTTGTGCTCATCATGATCAACAGCATTTGAAACAAACAATGCTTTCTGTGTTTCATCCAGTGAAAAAGCTTTTGAAGCGTGCACCGGTTTGCGTTGACAATACCTTATTTCGGTTGCACTACAATTACACATTTATTATTTTGACCATATTTTCGCTGCTTTCGACATCCTACCAATATTTTGGCCGGCCAATTCAGTGTATTGTTGACAATCCATCTCTTGCTGGTGTAATCGAAACTTACTGTTGGATATCAACCACCTTTACAATTCCGAGCCGAATGACTGGAGTGGTTGGTCGTGACTTAATTCAGCCAGGTGTAATGGGTCACATCGAAGGCGAAGACGCAGTGAAACACCATAAATATTACCAGTGGGTGCCATTTGCGCTATGTTTTCAAGCAATGCTATTTTATATTCCACGTCATCTGTGGAAAACGTGGGAAGGTGGTCGCATTAAAATGCTTGCAACCGATTTGATCATGCCAACTGAAGAGAAAGATAAACGAATGAAAATGCTCATCACCTACTTCCAAGACAATTTGCTACGAAATAATTTCTATGCGCTTAAATTTTACATTTGTGAACTTCTCAATTTTGTGAATGTCATCGCGCAAATATATTTTATGGAGTACTTTTTGGATGGCCAATTTTCAACGTACGGTATAGATGTGTTACAATTCATGGAAATGGAATCAGAAATTCGAGACGATCCCCTGTCACGAGTCTTCCCAAAGATGACTAAATGTACATTTCACCAATATGGACCATCCGGAAGCGTTCAAAAATTTGACAGCATGTGTGTATTGCCGCTCAACGTTATCAACGAGAAAATCTTCATATTTCTATGGTTTTGGTTTCTAATGTTATTCATTTTAAATGTGCTCTGGTTATTGTATCGAACATTGGTGGTGTTTTACCCAACACTTCGACTTTATTTGTTGCGTTGTCGAGCAAGAACTTCATCATCCCAAGATATTGGCTACATTTGCAAAAAGTGTCTCATCGGAGACTGGTTTTTACTCTATCAATTGAGTAAGAACATTGATCCATTGATTTTTAAAGAGTTTATAATAGAGTTGGCTAATCATTTAAGCGGCAAGCATAACGTTTGATACTAATATTAAAATTAGTAATAAAAGAAAATTAAAATACAAACATGTCGGTTAAATTAAAGTACAAACAAATGACAATTGAATAAAGAACTGAAAAAAATTGGCCTGACAACTTTCATTTCTTTACAATAAACGTTCTTTTTAGATTCTTCGCGATTTAAATATGGCCGGTAAAAGGTATGTCATTGTCATCATGAATCAAAAGGATATAACTGCAATAATAATAATCAAATATGAATATTATCAAAGTCTGAATTTCTGCTGAATTGTCTCTTTTGAGTTTAAAATTGTTAAAATCGATAAGCAATTTTGACTGCCATTAAATCACTAACTCTTTGTATTAGAATTATGTATCATGCCATGATCACATTTTTAATTCATTTTTTTATTATATTAATAAAGGGAAAAAAATACCGATGCTCGATAGAGATGGTAAATCAATAAAATGCGTCAAACAATTTGTCTCAAGGTAAACAAACCAATAAAAATAATCGAACGAAAGCACTGATAAATAAAAGAGTCACTCAAAAATAGCTTAGTGACTGTTTGCATGAAATGCGTGTGATTCATGAAAGTTGAAACTAAATAAGTATGAGAATATTATATCAACACTAAAATCTATGAAATGAGCTCAATTTGTTTTATTTTTTTGACAAATAATATTTCCTAGTGTTAATAGAATAGAGCCGATTGATTACATTTGCATTTTGATATCTTATCATTTGCACAGATAAAATACGTAACATATTTCATTGGTGATCGTCAATTTGAAAAAAACTGTTCAAACCAGTTCAATATAAAACTTCGCCAATGATACTTTAACGATTTGTTGACACAATAGAAATAATATATAAGATATTTGTATTATGGCTGAACTTTCGGGCTTCCGAAGGTTTTTTATTATATTTAACACAATTATGTGCTCAATATAGAAATATCCTTTGCACTATTTTAGATTTTCCCATCCTGCACCACGAAGAGGTTCGTTGTTCGCAAATGTTCAACGTGGTTCAGACTTGCAAAGAGGATCAGTGGTAAGCATCGCCACAACCGTTCAAACAACAGGCCATAGTTGGATGTATATTTTGCGAGCAATGCGAAAACAATTTTATTCACTTTTACCTGGTTTGTACAAAACAAAATACGATAAATATTTATGTGTTGACTTCATTTAATGACACTATTTGTATACTATTTTAGGTTTTAGTATTTGTACTTGTGCCATAATCTTAAACAGTAACTTCTATTACGTTGATTTATTCAACAAATTGAGTGATATTTATGATGGAAACAATCACTATGATATAACTGATTGTGTGACGATAGCGTTGTACTTTTTAGGTGCTTGCGTTGGTAGTATTTTAGTAGGATTTTATCAATACACATGGCCGGCACGCAAGACAAATGTGAGACATTTATTTCGAATACATTTTCGATGACTAATTGAAGCCTTATCTCTCATTTTCTGTTAAAACTAGTATGTTATCGGCGTTGTTTTGTTAATATCGTGTGCATTTATGTTCTGGAAACATATCGTATCATTCGCTGTTTCGCGGCTATTGGCTGGAGTATCTTATGGATTTATTTACATTCCGTTGATTACACAAATAGCGGACAATTCAATGAAAACCGTTCGTGGATACATGGCCACTTTATTTGCCCAATCAAATTTGTTGGGACTTATAGTCGGGGTCGCGTTTAGCGACCATTCGTGGAAAGAATTGACATACATGCGAATAATATTTTGCGTTGTATTGATTGCTTTTCCCATTGCAACAATAATAATGACACGATTTTTAACATTCGAACCAGTAACACGTCTACTTAAATTACAATTGGAAACTGAAGCCCGAAATGTGCTTGACAAATCACGCAGCGGAAAGATCGAAAGCACAGTTATTCAATATGAAATCGATGAGAGAAAACTAATGCTCTTAGAAGACTACAATGAGGACGAAGAGCAGAGTTGTGGCTTTCAAAAAGTGTTAAACAATGGCAATGGCATGACATTACTTTGGATTATCTTGCTTCGTTTATTGCATGTGTTGACAGCTAATATGTATTTATTCATCTTATCAGCGATTTCAATATCTACGGACCTAAATTACGTTATGCACATTGTGCTAATGTTTGTACGTCTCCTAATTTTAACAATTCCACATTATTCTATCGATAAACTAGGTAGAAAAAGTCTTTTACTGACATCAGGACTTGGAAGCGGTATATTATTGATACCATTTGGTGTACAGGCAATGGACTGGATTCAAATTCGCGGAGATTTATTTACGATCATTATATTTGGTATACACATTTTTGCTGCACTTGGAATTGAACCAGTTCAACCAATTTATGCAGCTGAAGCGTTTCCATTATCGCAACGAAACGGATCGCTTACGATTGTTACGTGTTTTGAGTATATTACACAAGGAACCATTGCAATTCTATTGCTACGCGGTGAAAAACTTTCCCTACAAATTTTACTTTTGGCAACGCCATTCATTGTCCTACTTTTGACAATAATCTTATTTGCCAAACTACCGGAGACAAAGTCATTGCCACTTCGCCGATGCCGTGATCTATTTAACAAGAATATAGAGAAGAAAACTCTACCGCCTCGTGTTTCACGAATCCACACGCTCGGCAGCACTTATATGTGAACTGTGATTTTGTAAAATGTATTTCATGGTTTTCTTTATTAAATTAATTAATTTTCACATGTTTATACAATAAAAAATTTCAGTTCTAATATTCTAATAACATTTATTGCTATAATTATTGCTTTACAGCAAAATTGAAATTATTCGTATCAACCATTTGATTTGCATTCGATATTAGATTATTTGGTTGTTGTGGCTGTTGCCAGTTTGACTGTGGCTTCTCATCAACGATGATTGGATTTAAATTTGAATTGTGCAATTGTTGGTATGTTTGCGGCGATACTTTGCTTATGAAAAAATCAGTTATAAGCTGGATGAGAGAGTTCAAATAGCCTACTGATACTATGATGCCAGCAATCACTGAACTTAAACGTATTAAAAAGTGCATAAAATTTTCATGATCTTGTCTCACAATCACTTTCAAGGCAGATACATCGTATTTGAAATAAAGACCCGGCATCCCATGTGCACCTTTGGAATGATCTAAAATAATAAAATGACATTAATTCAAGATGTAATTCAAGATTCGTGGCCATTCAAGTGGAAATCGGCAAAAAGTTGAACTTACTTATGGGTCGAATATTCTCCTTAACAGAGTATTGATACGTTTTTACATGTGACATAAACGAATAAATGTCTGTTGGCACGACCTCAATAAAATATTGTGCTTGTGTTGAACCTTTAATTAACTTAAAATGATGAATAAATACGTAAAAAATACTCTAGATTACTCACTATCTGTCAAAATCTTTTCATCGCCTTCCAACGGATGAACAATGCCCGATGTGGAATCACCAAAACTAAATCTATTGATGCGATGTGAAAAGTTCAAGGGGACTTCATCAAAGAAATTTTGTATATGAATGTGACCACTGGCGAAATGGATTGACTTTCCGCCGGTAATATGAAAGTTTCCAGCTACTTTGTTCAATGTGAGCGAACCGTGAACTCGACATGCATCAAACGGTTTATTGGGTTTGATTGTGCGTTCTGGTAAATTGTACGCAGTTTTGTGACTGCCTTTGTGTAACATGTCTTTGAAAATTAAACTCTGCAGATAAAAGAAATTAGTTATTTCAAATCGTTATGCCGACACAAGTGTATCCAAAAAATTATTATCAAATTACATTCAACGAATGGTATTCTTCACGTAAATAGGCATTTAAATGCTGTGTGTAATCAAAGTAAGTTCTTTGCTCCAGGTCAAGTTCCCACCATGTATCTTGCTCCTCCAAAAGTCCGAAAGAAAACACATTTTGATTGGTCGAATCCAAAATGTCAGCACCAATATCTACAAAAATATATCATATCCATTGAAATGTTTATACACATTTTACCAACCGATAATTATTTTGGTGACGTATTGTGAAACTAACTTGAACATGGCGTAGCAACGGTGATGTCGATGTGTATTTTCAGTTTTGTATCCATATCAGTGTCAGGCTTGAATCTAAACACCAACTTACTATCCATATAGTACATTGTCTCATTGAATATGAGATAAATAATTAGAGCTCGCGATATGATGGAAACTAAATTATAAAGAAATAATTTATATTGATCGCTAAATGTGTTTTGAATGTTATGATTGTGTATTTGTTTTGCTTACGTGTTCCTCCAATCCTCGAACTCTGCTGACATTCAACGGACACTTTTGGAAATGCATCTAGTTGCCGCACAACTTTCAGTGGATCTTTTGAGAATCGTTGACGCAGAGTCATTTTTTATGTGAATTGTAATTCATAAAAATCACATAAATCAACTGAATTTGCTGTAGTGTTATCAGCACCAAACTACACTTGTATCGTTCCAATGTCATTGGCATATAAACGTCAAAATAATGGGGTGAGTTTGAGTTGTGGTGAATTTACGAAATGGAGTCGTTCAATGTGTTGAAGTTTTTGAATGTCAAAGAAAATAAAAAATTAATATATTTTATTTTTATAATTACTTTACATGCACTTATTTTCTTTAATAAAATATATATCTTCAAGGTTCGAAAATAAAATTCTGGAAAAACTACAAACGAATCGCTAACTAAATGGTTTTGGTCTTTAAATGTCTACCGTTAAAAAGTCGCATTAAACTAACTCATTTACTTCAAATAACAAACAAGGTAAACGAATGCCACCAAAAGTCATAATAAGCAAATTCCGCCTTTTTTATGCAGCTGTTGGATTTCAGAGATTTAAAGCGTCGAGTATTTCATGAAAATTTTGTCAAATTTAAAAGTCTTCAAAATTAAACCATCAAATTGATTTATGAACATTTTAATAATTGAAATTTCGTTTTAAATGTAATGCTCGCTCAATTGTTTGGATTGTATTCTAAGGTGTAGTGAAAATGTCGGATAAAGTGTGTATTTTGTGCAAACACCCTACCGATGATAGCCTTCAATTTGGCGAAAAAATTACTTGTGAAGATGTAACAGCACATTTATATTGTTTGGTAAGTGAATATCGCACATTCTTTGGAAATCTTTTAATTGGGTAGTTTTGATATAAAGCAACATATAAGCAATGGGTGGTGATCATCCAAGAGAGCGTACGTTCTATATATTCATGAGATTTTGTTATTTTCGAAATTATTTTGTCGATTGTTTACATAAGTGTAACTTACTTTCACATCTGATCAGAAGGAAGAGTGTGTGAACCAATGTGTAAAAATTAAACATTTCATTTCAGCTGTTAACATCCAACTTGGTGCAGAACGGCAATGACGATGAAGGAATAATAGGATTTTTACCAATAGATATCAAGCGGGAAGTCTCTAGAACCAAAAAACTTGTAAGTTTCAATATTTTTCTTGATTTTGTAAATTTTTTGCTCGTCCTTAAAAATACAACTAATGTGAGGTTATGACAAAATTATTTTCAGTTCTGCCACTACTGCCATTCAAATGGTAAGAAATCAATCAATTGATATGTTTCTTTCTTTGAAATTAATACTAAACAATATTATTTCTTGTTTTTATTTGACTATTTATTTCATGAAAAAGGAGCAACAATTGGTTGTTGTAAGAAGTCGTGTCGGCATTCGTTCCATTTACCATGTGCACTACAAAATGACTGTCGTTTTGAATTCCAAGACCCATTTCAATCGTATTGTGATGCACATCACAATATAAAGAAACCAAAAAATGCACACAAACCAAGTGACTTATGCACAATTTGTTACGAGGAAATGGGTGAATATAATCCAGTTCGATCGATTCCATTACCATGTTGCAATAAAAATTCTTGGTGTCATAAATTATGTTTGCAACAGTATGCTCAAACATCCGGATACTTCTTAAAATGTCCACTTTGCAAGGATTCGGATACGTTTCGAGAATGGATCACACGACGCGGCGTTTTTATTCCAGATAGGTAAAGGATAAACTAATCTGAACGCAACTTTGTTATTGCTAAAGTAAAAATGAATGCTTTAATTTTGAATTTTGTATTTTGATACAGAGATGCAAAATGGGAGGGCGATGAAAACGGTCCGAATAGTTTTTATGGTTTCGAACATGTATGGAATGCAATATGAACATTGAACAACGTTGAAATTAAATTGATTGAAGAATCTTATAATTTTTGTTTATTACGCAGCATTCAGAACGGCCAACGAATGAGTGTGAAGCTGAAATCTGCAGATGTCCAAAAGGTCGAAAGTATCTCGTTGACTCAGAAAAAAATAAATATTCAATGCTTTATTGCGATCATTGTGGCTCACATGCTATTCATTTGGGCTGTTTTACCGGAAAAGATTTCTTGTGCGATGAATGTACAGCGATTGAAAAGGTGCGCCAAGAGAATGCTGCCAATTTATTGAAAACACAAACTCAAAAGAGGCACAATGATATCGTGGAAATTGAAAGCGATACTGAAGAACGTTTTGGATCATTTTCGTCAATTGATAGGATGTTGATCGCCAAGTATAAGCTGCGAGAATTCAGGTATATTACGGTGAATTTAAAATTTTATTACATTTTTTATTTACTTTTATTTCTTCTTTTTTTTATTCAGTATTTGCCTAAGACGTTTGACAGCAAAAGATTTGGGTTTCAAGCTCGAACCGTCTAGTAGTAAATCCGATATAACAGATTCAAATGATGGCAGACAAACAAATGACAGCTTCAGCGATATTCAAACAAGTTCCAGTGATGAAAGTGTAATCAACATCCAAAATAAAAGATCAGCACCCAGCGGCTTCGATTCAGATAGTGATGATGAAAGGGATCTTACACCGAAACCAGCAAAACGCACTCGCATTTTGCCACGAAATCAATTTTTTGATTCAGATGATGATGAAGACCTGATTTTTATTGACATAAATGATAATTCGAAGGACATACCATCATCCAATCTCACAATAACAGAAGATTCTTCACATGAACAATCATGTAAACAGGTGTCAGCTGGCTTGAGAGTTCGTCAGCTTTCTAGCAGTGAGGATGATAATCATATTAAACCAACAAACTCGAAAATTCAGACGTTTTTCGACACTCCCGATGAACAAATGATTGACAAGGAAAATGAACGACCATCCAAATCTATTGCAGTTGTTCGACCATTTTCAAGAATCGAATCTTCAGCGGATGATAACATTAAACCTGACAAGTTAAGCATACAGTCACATCCAAGATTCTCGAGCACTGATGAGCCACACGATAATTTTACTGCTTCTAATCAAATGGAAATTGGTGATAATCTGAGTCCATACGAAAATCAAACCGTAACCAATTACGTAAAACAAAGTCCGGCTAAGAGAAAACAACACACTGTTTCGTCATATTTCCGCGATACAACGTCATCGGATGAGGAACCAGTTCCACGTAAAATCCGGAAAAAATCCCCGAAAAAACCACGCGCTCAGTTAGAACTGGCACCAAATCAATCAACTATTATACACTTCTTCAAAAAGCAGTCAAACCAAACTAATTGAAATGTCGCATGAAAAACAATTGTGTGGGCATGTACCACTTGAAATATTTAAAAATTCACTAGCATGTCGAAATGAAGTGCACTTTTAAAATAAGTACATTTTTTGAAGAGCATGGTAAAAACTTTTGCGAATTCGCATTCGTTTATTGCACAAGTTTTTATCCGACTTTTTTTGTTTAAATAAAGAATGTTTTTTTTTTCTAATTTTATAAAAAGGTATACCTTTATCAGAGCATGAAATTTAAAATGTTGCAGCAATACTAAATTCTAGTATTGTCTTTAAAAAAAGACTAAATGAATAAAGCGGGTTAAAAAAAAGAAATATTAAATGAAATTAAAATTTAAACTCTGTTATATAAACCATATACAAAATCTTTTTGATATTATTTTAAAATTTATGTCAACATATTCAATTTCCTGAAAGAATTTCTTCCGGCACAATTTAACCGATAAATTATTGTTGAAACAAATCAAAATTATAAAACTTGTTTAAATGAATAAATAAATGCACAATGGTTCGTTCGGATGCATGCAAAAGTATTTGCAATGTAAACACTTTCAGATTTACCGGACCAGCTTAAATCAAATCAAAGTTAGTTTGAAAAATAAATTGTTTGCAATTAAATATTTTCCGATTTGTCAGTATGAATTGTTGGATCATTAAAAAACAGCAATAAAATCAAATGCTTGTAGTGTTAAATTTATTGAAAAATAAGTTCCTTCTAAACAAGTGGAGTATAAAGCATGAAGATTATGTCATTTGATTTAGTTGGATCATTGCAGATTACACCGATTATTATCAAATCATTGAAATTAACAATACAATGGGTCAGTTGCTGTGCTGATAAGAAATTACTTCATCTCCAATTGAATTGAAGTTAAGTTGGCCCATTTCCATTCAAATCACATACATACGCACAATCAATGTTTACATTCAAAGTGTTCCGCCAAAACACTCTGTTGTCTACCTACATAAGAAATACTCGACGAACAATAACAAACAAAAAAAGATATGATTAAATAAATAAATAAATATGAATTAAATGCATGAGATATTAAAGTGATTTAAATGTGAGTATGTATTTAATTAAAGTGATTGGATTGCTTTGTTTGTGTGAGATTGTATCAGTTTGTGTATGCAAATAACTTGAACTGCTCATAATCCGTCTCGCTATTGATGTGAATGAACCGAATGCATGTATTTTAACAGAAAAAAGAAGAATAAGAACCAATGATAAGAACGCTTGAACGAAAGAATGATTTAAAAAAAAAGAAAAATACAAACAATAATATCATTGTCCGAAATGAATATAATTATTATCTACCGCTGACGTTCAAAGTCAGTCAATCATTATGTATTGTAGTTGGTGATAAGAAATGGGCATGCTTGTGAGTGTCCATTTTTTGCGTCTACACAGTCCGAAAAAGCAAATATCGACCAAAAAAAAATGTTATAATCGGAACAGATTGAGCCTGCAATTACTTGATATACCCATACTGTATCAATTGAGGTCTTTAGCGCACGAAAAATTCGTTTTATATACGACATTTACAGTTAAGAATTTTGCTTTCATGTGTGGATCTGAATTATGATTTAACAGACGATTCAGTGACGAATTAAGGCGACCAATACACAACACATATACAAAGAGGCACATGGAAAACAACCAAAAAAAGAAAAGAAATCAATATCAAAAGAACCACACATATAGGAATTGAGTTTGTCATCCGATGCGATAACGTGATATGGCCGGTCGAAATCACATGCATGTAAAAAAAACAACCAACCGCGTTTGGTCCGTGAGTGTGGAGTGTATGCCCCAATATAATCACCGCACGCGTTTACGTCTCGTACTCAAAATTATCGCAAATGTATGTGAGTATGCATGAAACACATTATAAATTCTCCAATATTATACATTGTACATACTGTATGCCTTGTTGTTATCGCTGGCGCGATCACATATGTACGTTTTCTGTCTCTATCTTTTCAACAGTCCCCATTTGACATGGCTTAGTTCATATAGGCGGCCTGTATTTTTCACTCTCTTTTATTCCATTCTGATATATATACATTTTTTTTTGCTTCGTTTCCATATAGCTCACGACGAACACAGACCACTTATAGTATTACTGATTTTTTTGTTGTTGTCGTTGTTGTTGTTGTTGCTGTTATTATTTTTGTTTGGTTGTTGATCATTCTATCTCGTTCCACAGTTTAGTTTGATATCTGCGTGTCGTTAGTCACATCCTGAGCTCACAATAATATGAACCTTCAGCTGCGAAACCGAAAGGAATAGTGTTTTGATTTTGGCACAGCAAAATTTGTTTACATTTTGAAAAAAAAAAAACTTTTTTCGATCGTGCCTTTTTTTCTTTACGACTTTATTTTGAGCGATATATAATATACATTTTGCGCGCGTTTTGTTTTGTGTTGTTAAATATTTGCGATGAGAAAATAAATTGAACTAATTATTTCTCTAAGCGAAAATTAATTGTTTTCTTTTTCAATTTCATTTAATGAATCTTGTTTAATTGTGTGAAACATTAGCCGTGTTTTATTGACATGATAATCAATTAATGAATTTAGACCCTCTATGCGGTTGTTATTTTATTTTACTTTATATTTGCGTCAAATAGCAATATCGAATAGCATTCAAAATCGCTATCCATGGACCTCGTATAAATAACGTTTTTTATATTCTTTTTCATTTTCAATTTAACACAAATTGATTGATAAATAAAAATAAGAAAAAATTATGCAATCCTAGTATTCAAACAGTGGCGTGAAATTCATTATATTTACAATTTTATTGCAGAAATCAAGAGTGTATGAATGTGACATTTTTGAATAGTTTATTGTAAAAAAAAACTGTTGACAATAGAAACAAATTTCGTTCATGGTCATTGATTAAAAATCAATCAGACAGTACATATCTGATGCGTGTGTGTAGAAGCGCGTCAATGAACTACAGTTATAATACAGTGTGTGTACTTCACGCGATGAAAGTGAATCATAGGAATGTTTGACATGAAAAGAAAATTATTTGATTTGAAAAAAATTGGCATTGTGTTTAAGTCAAAGGACAATTCGTGAGTTTTTTTTTTCATTTAATTTGGATTTCGTGAGAACTTTTCCACCTACAATACTCATCGATATTAAATCTGAAAGGTTCAACGATACTTAATTTTTTGACATGGAATATAAGTAGGCAAAGAAAAATAAGAAAAGGAGAGAAAAATCGGATAAAACTAAATATAGTAGTGTGTCTGTCGTGCAACCAGTGAATGTATTCGCGGACATGTGTGGATATGGTTTAACGGTCTGTGCGTGAGCAATATTAAATTCATAGCGACACTAAGTCGTCATTTTTAGACTTTGACTCAAATAGTCTGCTATTTTTCTCTCGTACTTTTTTTATATTATTCATATATAAATTTGTGCACAGTTTCTGCTTAGATGGATTTTCTAATCAGTTTTGTTGTGACGTAGTGCATGCATTCCGTGTTTCAATTGAACCGATCGAATAAGAAGGAAAAGAAGAAGAAAGAAAATAACGTTCAACTCGTCAATCTGAGTCTGTTGAGCTAGAAGTAATTGAAATTGTGATAAACGTGACGAAGGAGATGAGTCGTTGACGCGAGCAGTCTTTGTGCGATGCATTAAATAAACGCATGAAAAAGAATCACAAATCGGCGCGATACACATTTCAAAAATTCTCGCACTATTTTCCATTTCTCTTTCTCGTTCGGTTGAACTGTTCGCGAATAGTTTTTTTCTCTCAGAATTAAACGGAATTTCTGTGCGTTCCTTCTATTTTCATTCATGTGTGAGTACACTGAATCTGAATCGCGGCAAAACACATATCTTCTTTATTGTTCGGTGTTTGACAAGACTCGATCAGTCGTTTACAGTTGACTGTACGATATAGCGGCTCGACTATTTCGTTATGTGACAAGTGTTGTTAAACAAGACGATAACATCTGAAAAAAAAAACACGACAAATACAACACCGCCAATGTTTACAGACAGAGAACTCATTAAATAAAATGTGTATAGTACGAGACATTCGATTTTGAACGTTAATTGTTAGGATTTTTTTTCTTTATTTTCATTCGGTTTGATAATACAGTGCGTTCCAAAACTTACGCGGTGCAATTGAATCAGCATTTAAAAAAAAAAAATGTTTACGTAATTTGAACGAATATTGATAAAATAATGGTGATTAGAGTCTGATAGTGGAACGACGAAATATTGCAAACGCATCAAAACTGAAGTACACGGGAGTAAAAACACAAACTAGCTCGTCAGCAGTCATTGAAAACAAGGTGAGTATATGATAGTGTTTACTTTTGTTCATTCGCTATTTCAAGATTGAATTAGGCGGAATTATAAAAATCATTAGTAGATGTGAAGCAATTAATGAAATGATCTTTATTGTTCGACGTGCTGAGCAATATTCCCAAATAAATATTAGTGAAATCGGTGTACAAATGCAAATTGTCACAGTACATCAAATCTTAAAGATCTCTCTTTCCAACCTATTTCATGTGTCATAATTTAACCGCTCGTGAGACGAATTATTTCAAAGGCAGCATGTGCGCAGTTCTCCGATTTGTAAACAAAAAAAATTGCAGAAACACAGCGTAAACATGCTACGGTATTATATATTATTATTAGGGGAGGTGGGGGCAGACTGATACACTTTTTTTCAATTGTGAATATTTTAGCCAAATGAAAAGATATTGAAAAAATTTGAATATCGTTTGAAAGTGGATTGAAAACCCCAACTTTCTGCATCATTAGATTTTTTTATTGTTGATGTGGTTTACGCTACGAGCCAAAAGTTTGAAGTGATAAAGGAGCGAGTACGACGTTTCCCCCTTTGCTAAGCGAAATTAATCCGATATACGGCGCTGATTTAAATGTCACTCTATGTCATTCCACAATGATACATTTTTTGGCTTGACAATATATAAGCTCTTCATTCAACATGCATAATTTTTGAACGGTCGAGTAAAAAAAAGAAACATATCATAAAATATTCTTCTTACGTTTATGATAAAAATTCTCTATATTTTAAATTTATTTGTTTAAAAATAACAATAATTTCAATTGAACAAGAATCTAATGTAAAAAGTAATACCAATGCGACACCTACCGTTAAAATAGAAAATGAAACTTATTTGGAATTGTAACATTTTGGTCCGCCATAACAGCATCTTCGTTTTGCTTCTCTGTGATTGGTCAAGTAAAACGAAGATGCTGTCATGGTGGACAAAAATGCTACAATGGAGACCAACTAAGTTTCTTTTTGCATTTTTACGGTAGGTGTCGCATTGTCATTACTATTTACATTGGATTCACACTTGACAGTTATTGTATTGAATTTTGTACGGGATTTATTTATTATATAAATATAAAAAAAACAATGTGAAATGTGAATAAAAAAGATAAAAAATCGATGTCGTGACGAATTATGTGAAAAAATAAATATTATCAATTACTCAGCGGAAAGTATGCTTGAATACGCGTATACCGCTGCAAAGCGGTACCAATATATACAAACACATAAAGGTCGACCCGTTTTAGATAACATTTCTATTTTTTACACCTAATGATGGCTCATTATTTTTGTTTTTTTATTTAAAAAATGTAAGTTTTTCTACGAATGCGATTGCGTGGTTTCATTGCTCTGCTGTTCAGCAGCAGCAGGAACATATGGAGGTTAGGTGTCCTCCTGAGTCAATTTTATTGTATTATTTTTTTGTTGTTCGTTTATTTAGTGCACGTTTGAAAAATTAACAAAAAACAAATGAGGAAAATTGATTTATTGTTTTATTTTATTTAAAATATTTTCATTTATAAGTTTCATCGTTGTTTCAAATTTTCTGTTCGCTATATGATACTCTTTTGTTCCACATTTGATACAAATATCAGAAAATTTGGAACAACGATGAAACTTATAAATGAAAATATTTTAAATAAAATAAAACAATACATCAATTTTCCTAATTTGGTTTTTGTTAATTTTTCAAACGTGCATTAAATAAAAGAACTACAAAAAAATAATACAATAAAATTGACTCAGGAGGACACCTAACCTCAATATATTCCTGCTGCTGCTGCACAGCAGAACAATAAAACCACGCAATCGCATTCGTAAAAAAGTTTTTTTAAAAAAACTTACATTTTTTAATTTAATTTCAATTTTAATTTAGTTTTATTAATAAAATAAAAACAAAAATGATGAGCCGTCATTAGGTGTAAAAAATAGAAATGTTATCCAAAGCGAGTCGACCTTTGTGTGTTTGTATATATTGGTACCGCTTTGCAGCGGTATAGACGTATGAAATCACACTAGCCGCTGAGTAATTGAATTATAATATTTATTTTATTACATAATTCGTCACGAATCGTGACTCACGATATTAATTTTTTTTATCTTTTTTGTTCACATTCACATTCTTTTTATATATTTCTAAATAAATAAGTCTCCAACAAAATGTAATACAATAATTAATATATAACTTGCTTGACAGCAGATTTCGATAGGGACAACTAATGACATTTGTGATTTGACATTTGGCCTGTCTGAAAAGAGTTGAAGAAAAAGTGTTATGAATGTAATTTTTTTGCTATGAATGACAAAAATAAAAAAAATCAATCGGGAGCTTATCTTAAGCATGCCAGATCGCCCGGATAAATCCGGTCTCGCCCGAATTTTTGAGGCAAAACCCGGACGAAAAATCGCCCGGCCCGGATGACCAGATATGCTGGAAAAATTCCGGATTTCGCCCGGATTTTTTACAATTTTCGACAATTTTTTAACAGAAAACTTCAGTAATTTTGGATTTTTTTCTTTTTAAATGTGTGAGTTTGTTGTATTTTTTATATCGAAAAATCCATCTTATCAAAAACTATAGAAACATCATTTATTGAACTTAAATTGATAATCAAGTCATTTTTGTGGAAATCGAAAAATATTACAAAAATTTTCTGAGGAAAATGTTTTTGTTTTGGTTGAAAAAATTAATTTTGCAGGGATTCCGCCCGGATTTCGGCCGGATTTTCAGTTAACAATTTTGAGTTGCATCGCCCGGATTTCGCCCGGACTTAATGCAAATTCGCCCGGATAATCCGGACCGGATTGACATAAAAAAAAATCTGGCATGCTTAGCTTATCTTCAATTTAAAAAAAGGAGTCAGATTCGTCATAATAGTTTGTAATGGCTTCTAAAAAACTAATGATGAACCATTTCTGCGAATCACTATGAAAACATACAAAACATAGTGCAAACACGTTCAGTCTACGTCTACTGATCCTCGAATTTTGTTTAAAAATCAACCAAATTTAATAAAGAATGCGTTGAAATCTCATACAAATACTAAGAAAATACATAATATTACAAAATTTAAAACACTTATTATTAAATGAAAGCAGGCTTTAATAGCAACAAATTATATTCACCTCAATCCTGGCATATGTAAAGAAATTTAAAAAAATCGAGATTCTAAAGTGTAAAAAAACGGTATGTGCCGAAAACACAAACTTGACTGTACGACGACTCTCGTTGGTCTGACGTATTGCGTGTGTATTTGCCAAGTTTGTGCCTATTAACAGCGGATTTTAATACAACAACAGTTTGAAATTTTGTATTACCGTTTAAAAAAATGGGGTGTATCAGTGTGCCCCGTGTATCACTCTGCCCCCATTACCCCTATATATATTGACCTGCCAGATGAAATTTTGTTGTCGTCATGTTGAATATGATAAAATAACAAATCGTATTAAATAAACTTATAATCTCCGTATTCATCCTTTCACATTCCCTTTTATAAATAAAAAATTCGATTGATTTACGGCAAACCACAAGCGAAAACGGTTTGCCACATTTAATATGTGCATTAAATAAATAAACGGCCAGAAACTAAGTCAAATTAGCATTCCGATTACAAAACCAGACGAGATGTTTGCAACTATGGTTGGTGAACACGATTTGTTGAAATTGTCTGTTATAAATTGGCACGAGTGTTATTGAGATAAATTATGTCAACAAGAACAACATCATTATGCTGACGATAAAGAATTCACCGATTGCCAGTCATTTATTGCGGTTTTTATTCGATTTTACAATGTGGCTCACGAGATATTTTGCGCAAGCTTACACGACGCGAACGCGCATGCTTCGTTCGATCCAATAACATTAATCTGATTTGTGATTTGCATGTGTGGCAAGGTTTTCTTTTTTTCAAAATTTTCATAGAAGTGCGTAATAGTCGAGACACATAGTTTCGAGTATCGAAAGTGGAGGACAGCGTCTTTTATGTCGATATGAAACAGTGAAGTTTGTAATTTACTAGAAATCGATGCGCAGAAAATAAATGTTAGCGCCTGACTGCTTTATTTATAAAAAAAAACAAGTTTCGTGAAGTTCAAAGCAAACGAACGACCACTATGTTATGCGTTATGCGAAATGACGAGCGAGACGAAAAAAATTGCATTGAAGTGGTTTATTCACATCTTGTCTAAAGATTATTACATAGCTTCACACACAAAATGAAGCGATTCATACCTTTGAACACATACTTAACTTTTATAAATTGTTAAAGTTTATCATACACCGAATATGGTCAAACATCTCAATTCAAAATCATTATGCCAAGAAATAAACGATGGAACATTTCCGCCGTAATTCATTTTAAATGTTGAATAAATTATCATTTCGAGAAAGAGTACATATAAATTTAATATTTTTACGTGGCGCAAGTGCGAGATGGGCTTTTAGTCATTTGTTGTTTTTTGCCTTTAAAGCAGCCATGTGCATTACATATATTATGCATCAAAGTGAACATTGTACAACGTGTTATAGCACAAAAGAGCTGTATAATAAAGAAATACAAATTGAAATAATAAAAATAATGACTCTTCATATATATTTTCAGTACACTACATTATACGATGAGTGAGTGTTTATATCAATAGCTATTACTAAAGTCAAAGAGTCAGAACCGCTAACACGATACAGTTTATGTTTCGTTTATTTCAAATTAGGCAAACAGTTCTGTTACTGTTAGTTGTTTATTATATTTTCATTACAAATCAACTGGCATGGAGAGTGTTGAATGCTTTGTTTTAAATATTCCTCATATTTTTTCAAAAAAATTCTTCGGCTTAAAAGCAAACTCGTTTACATTGTGCTAAACAGTTGCAAGTGGCTTGGTTGGACGATTTCGTTTTCTCTCCTCTGAATGTCACATATGTATGAACAATTAAATGACCTTGGATTTTCGGTTTTATTTTTTATTGGCAACACGTTACTTAATC